TGTGCGCCTTAACTCGGCCGCTAACTGACCTGGCGCGACCAAACTTCGTATACTTACACATCTTGGGGAGAATGTGTGTCGCGTACCAAAACCACGTCACTGCGGCTTTTATTTGACTTTGACCTTGACCTTCATATTTCCCTTCTGCTCTATAACTCAGCCCCTAATTGACCTAGCGCGAGCTAACTTCGTATACTTACACATCTTGGGGAGAAGGTGTGTCGCGTACCAAAACCCCTAAGGCAACCAATTTTAACATACTTGCACATCTCAGGCAGATGAGTTGTGTAACAAACCTTTGTCTTTGTAACTTATTTAACTTTACCTACCTTCTACGTCCTTACAGAGATATTTCATTCATACTAGATCAGGGGGGGATACATGTAGTTGGCGACAACTGCCCTTTCTAGTTTTATACGTTGAGGAACTTCCACTTACTTTGAAAGAAAGTAATAATAATGCCTACAATTTATACTCAAATAATTTTATAATTCTCTATAATCCACTTGTAAGTTTTACAATTATTTCAAGCATTATATTATAGTAAAATACAAGTGTATAAAATATTCTTGCCACCAATTCACGTAACATAGCAAATACAAATTACTTGCCTCTCAACTCTTGACTATTTTGAATTGGAATACAAAAATATAGAAAACAAACTTGGAAGCCTGCATAAAGCTGCATAAAACTAATCTGGTATAATCATGACTGTTTGAACCAATGTTTCGAAATTCATGCAGATATAATTTGGTAATATGATTACAGTTTTTCCACCTAAAGACCAGTAAGCACGTTGTTTGGCATTTAAGTATATTAGAAAAGACAACACATGATTGAAAACAGCCGCAATAATGGCCACAGACTTACATAACAGACTTAGCTACAGTTCCTGTAACACGTTGAATAGTTTCAAGTGTCTGTACCTGCGTGCTTCCAATACCATCCTACAAAGAAGAGATGAAGTACCAAACAAGAGACACAACCGCTACAACTCTCACATGGCCACTTATAAATCTAAGTTAAATAAGTAACATTTGCAATGAGAAAATCAAGGGGCCAAGCTGCCTGCCTGCGAGCAGATGTCCCAAATCCCAGAGTTTCTAGTTCCTACAGCATCTGACACCCTTCAGTCAATGCTTCTTGCATTCCAGAGAGCGGCAATGTGTGCAGGCCCACGCTGCTGTGGCTGCGCGACTTGGGCAGAGTTGCAGAAAACTTGTCCTGGTGTTCAACTCCACGATTAAAAACATCATTCTGCAATGAGCGATTTCACATGTCCTTTACATTCACGGGAGCACTCTCACTTAAGCAGAGCCTTGATCACCTGCTTCTCAGCACAGTCTAGATAACTTGTGCCATCAGGTGCAGCGCCTTCTTTCCTTGCCCCCTGTAATAAAAACAATGCACCGATTAGCCACTATACCTATCAATATGCTGTGTGTGCTGCATATCAATATGCTGTGTGTGCTGCATATCAATATGCTGTGTGTGCTGCATATCAATATGCTGTGTGTGCTGCATATCAATATGCTGTGTGTGCTGCATATCAATATGCTGTGTGTGCTGCATATCAATATGCTGTGTGTGCTGCATATCAATATGCTGTGTGTGCTGCATATCAATGTGCTGTGTGTGCTGCATATCAATGTGCGGTGTGTGCTGCATATCTTTCACTCCCCGAACTGTGTGTTATTCCCAGAATCTTAATATTATTGTAAGCGCAATGATGCTTGTTTGGGTAGTGGTCCGGCCAAGCCACGTGTGAGGTTTTATTTCAGCTGGAGAGAACAGATCAGTTCATGGCTATTTATAGTAGTAAGAGTTGCGATAATAGAAGGGGAGTGGTGGTCAATTGAGACCCAGCTGTGTCCCTAGCGCTAGGATGAAATTGGAGTCTCGTTGCTCGTTACACTGTCGAACTATATTTAGGATCAGTAAGAGTGAAGTGTGTAGGCATACACATAGCATACACATAGCTGTCTAGAGCGAAACATACCTGACTTGCTCTAAGCACACAACTAATTACTGAGAATGTCTGTGACAGTCACATGAACTGTTGAAATCACAGCACTGACACTAGTGAAACAAATAATATGCCTTGCAACTATAAAACCATGTATCAATATTGACATCTATCTATCCATCTAATCAATAGATTATTCTGTTGTATATACATCAGGGAAAAAATCCCTTTTTTTTCACGAGAGCTCTTTTTCAAGTCTGTGGACAAAATAGCTCTTGTCAAAAAATTTTACGGGAGCTATTTTGAGCCTCACGGGAGCGATTTTAGAGGTTTGAAGAGCGAATCGCTCATCGCTCCCGTGTATTTTTTACCCTGATATACATACACGTGCCAGCACGCATGCACACAGGCATACATGCCAGTGTTGTAGGTCTCGAGGCCGGTCTTGGCCTCGAGACCGTTTTCCTTGGTCTCGGTCTCGGACTCGGACTCGAGCCCTTCGGACTCGAGGACTCGGGTCGAGGCCGGCTCCAGGCCAATACATACATAGTACACAACTGTACATATTGTAACACGCAGTTTACAAGAATTTAAAACTAAAACTCCTAGGTTTTTAGCTCATCTGACATAGTCAGATGCAGCTTGTAGAATCGCACTATCGTCCGTCCGTTGGCCAACGAGTAGTATGTCGTTTCTGCCAGGGGTAGCGGGGTCTTCGGGAGCAAGGTGGGGGTGACACTTCGGCAGGTGGTGACGTGGGGGTGTGGCGCTCGCTGTGAAAGGGGCAGGGTCGAGTGGTCGAGGTGGCGGTGCAGGCTGGGCGTGCGAGGGTTGTGGTTGCAGAATAAGAAGGAGTGTTTGGCCAAGTTGAAAGTGCCTTGGGTTGCTTGGCGCCCGATGGTGTCTGAGTCTTGGGTCGCCGGAGGGGACGGATGGGAGACAGAAGCGGGGGCGGGCGCCGTGCGTCGTCCGTACGTCAACAGTTGGGCACAAATCTTAACCAGCTCAGACGTACGGTTCACGATATTCGGCGCCACATTCAAGGGGGGATCGTCAAAACGAGTTGGGATTGTCGAAGCTGGGGGTCAAAGGTCAACAGGTCAAGAGTGTAAAAAGGGAACATTCCCTGCCTTAACTTAAGGTAGTGAGGGGAGGAAATGAAGAATTGCGGCCACAATCTAAACGGCTCGACTAGGCTCGTGATAGTTGGTGTACTAGCATCATGGTAGGAAAAGCATCACTGTTGCTCGAAATTGAGGTCACAGGTCAAAGTCAATGGGGCACAGGCATACTGAATTTTAAAGACATTGTGTGCGCTGAGGACATGGTGTGACGGAGCGATTGGAAAACTTTTTTTGTTTCAGCGGTTAGCCCGTAGCATTTTCTATGGCTTTATTGAAAGACCATGTAAATGTGCTTTCCAACTGAGTTTGTGCGAAGAGTAAGGTGTTCTGATAACTTAAACTTGACCTCAGAGGAGGATTTAAACATGGAATTTGTTTAACTGTTACTGTGTTAGAAGATTTGGACTGCTGGGGCTTTTGCTAGTAGAATCTATAACATGCTCTGGATGTATGAGGCTACAATGTCAAGTGAAATTTCAAAAGCTAAATTTGCTTGAAGAAGGTTTTATGGCTTCCGCTTAAATCGTATATAATTCTAATGGCATTTGTGTAACTGTCAGTTGTGTTAATATGCGCGAAGTGCCTCAGTGGCCACTGCCAGTGCATGTAGTGGTGATAGTTATCGTTGTAGTTTTAACTGCCTTGCGTTAATTAGGTACAGGTGGCAGCTCTCTATTTCAAGCCTGTGAGGCCTTTGTGGTAGGTAAATGACGAGTCTTAACTATTACTGTCCTTGCAAATAGTTTGTTAGCTATAAACGACGTACGATGGAAGCTTCCAGACTACCAGTGTACGCCCAATCGTCGTGGCAACTTTCATAACGATGCCAACGACATTTCTCGAGTAAGGCTCCTGATACCATCCAGTGTTTGACAATATGGGCCTATCCGTTTTGTTTCGTACTTGTCATTTGCCCACGGACAACAAGTAGATCTGTCAGGTAGCGTTGTCTGCGGATAAGCAGCTTTTAGAGCAATTTTATATTTTCTACGCGATCGCTGGCCGGCTGCTGGAAACCTCGAGTTAACATATGTATAAACATGGGGCTGCCGGAGTCCACCCGAATTAACATATACTATAGTATAAACATTTATGTGAAAAGTTATATAAAAAGTTACCGCCTTGCTAGCTCCACGAAACGGTCTTGCTAGGTTAGAAGACGCATCAACAATCAGTCTGATAGACAATCCAGCGTCCTGTATATGACTATAGACAATCAGTCGTAACAGCCTCGTCGGCGGCAGCCGCTAAACCGCCTCGAGAAAGAGAGAATAGAGAGAGAGGGAGAGAGAGAGCGAGGGGAAGAGAGTGAGAGAGAAGGGTGAGAGTGGCCAGAGAGAGGCGCGCTCCCCGAGATGAGAGGAAGAGGAGAGAGAGAGGCCCAAGAGAGCGATGACGAGAGAGAGAGAAGAGAGGGGAAGAAAGAGAGAGTGAAATTAGAGAGAGCGATAGAGAGAGAGAGAGAGAAAAGAGAGATGCGGGCCGAAAGAAGTGGAGAGAAGAAAGAGAGAGAGAGAGAGAGAGAAGAGAGTGAGGCCAAAGAGTAAGAGATGAGAGCAGAGCCGAGAGAGGAAGAGAACAGAGAGAGAAAGACAACGACAAAAAGAAAGAGAGAGACACCTGCATCACGAGGGAAGATGTCGAGTGTGAGCGAGCGGAGAGAGAGGGAGAGAGAGAGCGAGCGAGAAGAGAGAGACAGAGAGAGAGAGAGAGAAAGAGAGAGAGAGAGAGAGAGATAGTGTGATCGAGCGAGAGAGAGAGTGTGATCGAGCGAGAGAGAGAGCGAGAGTGTGATCGAGCGAGCGAGAGAGCGAAAGAGAAAGAATGAGAGACAACGAGGGAGAGCGAACGCGGCGATGGGAGGGTGCTCTTGATTCGTTTGCCCCCGAGTTTAGCATCAGAACACCTGCCGTCAGGTGAGTGCTGTCGCTCTGCGGCACTTGTCTAGATACACGGCCTAATCTTGTAACGTTTTCAATGGCTCGATTAAGATTCTTGTCCCTTTGGTTTAAATCTGCTGTCACTTCGTCCCTTTGCTCTTTTTCTACCACTTCTTTCTCATCTTCTATCACTTCGAAGGTACTAGCACTCTCTCATTTGGTTCAACAAGCTGTGTCTATCTCGTAAAACACAAATGGATCCGTTACTTTGACACGTTTCGTATGACTCGTGTCTCTGTATTTTCGGCTGACTATACACTTTCGAATGTCTACGATGCACTGTTGCGATTTTTTCCCTTTTTTCCCTTTTTCCGGTTGATCCCCTTTTTTCCCGATTTTTTCCCTTTTTTCGATTTTCCCCTTTTTTTTAATCAAAAACTGGACTCAGACTCGGACTCGGGTGGCGCAGACTAGGACTCGGACTCGGGGGGGTGCGGACTCGACTACAACACTGATACATGCACACACACTTATTTGGCAGGTATAGCAAAGGAATTATAGGATACCATGGCTCAACATTGAATTGCTTACATATAAATAAAACACCAATATTAAATGGTGCCTACTTGATATCCGTATTAATACATAATATACATGTTCTACCACCTAGGTACCACAGTGCTTAAAGGTAGCTTCCCACAAACTTTCCACGTAAATTTGTGTAACAAACCACTGTAAAAACGTCAGTAAATAACTCACTACACTTTAACTGAATTTTAGCGTTGAAAATAAAACTGTAAAAATATGTATCAAGCCTATATTTGCTCATCGAAGAAACAACTCGAAAAACGCTTTTCGCCGCGGTTCCGTAGGCGCCATATTGTTTCTATTTGAGCAACCATCATTTCAATCGATTCAGTGTAGCCACTTTCAGATATCATAACTTTTAATATAAATCATTTTATGAAATCAGACTTTGTAGTCTAGACAGAGAGACACCTCGACTGTTTATGTTATTAATTTCAGAATTTTTACCGTAACCGTTTTCGAGATAGAACGTGCTAAAAACCCAACAAAACCTGACAGGACTCTCGACTCACTCGCTCGCTCAGAATATCCATCAATTGGGTCATAACCTGCCAGTGTGTATAATTTTACATAGCATGGTTCATACATGTATACATAACACAGCAAGTGTGCGGATATCGCCGCATAGCGGCAATGGTAAACGCGTTTAAAACATTTGACCCGAATGTTTTACTTTGTAGTCTAAAAGCTTTGAATCAGCATATTCCTGAGCAATTTTTTTTTCACCTATCACACATATATAGGCAAGTAGAAGCGTGCAATATTAAAGTAGTTCATTTTTGCCGCTTGAAAGTTCGAGTGAATATCCCTTTAATGTCTGCTGTATAATAAAACAATATTTTATATACATGCATAAATATAACAACTTATAGCTAAATAAACTCAAAATTAGAATTGACTAATGTAGTATACCTTTTCTAACATAAACTTTACACAATCTGTATGTCCTTCCCAGATTGCAGCTAGTAAGGCACTTATCCCATGTTTGTCAATGGACTGAAATATGGCAAACAGAGAATGAGTGAGGGTGAGTCACTGAGTGTATCACCATAGAACAGAACCAAACCAGTTGGGCATGTTTACAATCATACATAATGGTACAGCCATTGCAATAATGCACTAACTATATAATTCCACATAGATTTCTTTGCGAATATGAGCTTGTTAATCTGAGATGTCATAGTTGAAACGAGGGAAACTAGTCTTAATATAATTACACCATGCATAGTAGCAAGAGGCAATTAGATAGCAAGGTATACATAGCAAGAAGTAATTATTGACCAAACTGAAGAATCTTACATTTACATCTGCTCCTGCCTCAAGTAGATACTTAATGACATCTTTCTGTCCATAGTCAGCTGCATAATGTATAGGTGGTCTACCGCTGATCTCTTCTTTCACATTCACTTTCTACAAAGACAAAGTCAATTAATATTTAAAAACAGTTTAGTTTACTCACTCATCAATGACAGGATAGCAGTTCATTTACTCAGTTACTGATCCCACATTGATTGGAGTTTGAATAGATCTTGTTTTCAATAATTATCTTTTAACTGCAGATGCTATGGGAACACCACGTGAGGAACGGCACCGGTCGTGACTGATTTTGCATGTTGTCATGCTTCTGCCAAAAATGTTTGCTAACTAATCTGCCGTCGATCACTGACAAATTAAACTGGTGTTAAAAGTAACAATGTTCATAGTAGGGTACCACTAGTCACCAGTACCAGTACTGTGTGTGTGGAGTACTGAGTACCACTACTCAGTGACGCTGATAGGGTCTATGTCCCCCAGGGTACTGCCGGAACGTACCCTGGTACTAAATACTACTATCTAATATGACGGACCGTACCTCGCCTACTCCACTAACGAGTCTAGGGAGTCGCCTACGCCTACTCCCAAACCCTAACCCTAACCCTAACCCTAACACTAATTCCTTAACCATATCAGCTAGATAGTTACCAGGGTACGTTCCGGCAGTACCCTGGGGGACATAGACCCTATCAGCCTCAGTGACCACCGTACCCGCGATTGTTACAATATTATATATGTAAATTATGGTTCATGGATTATAAGCGCTGTCCACAATGCATTTTCGCAATGTGCGACATGTGCAAATGTGGACAGCTCTTATATCATTGGGCCAATTATATAAAACAACAAACAACAACACATACATAATAAAATACAAATTACCCCTCCGTCTAGTAACTATAAACTAAGTAAGGCTCATAGGGTCTAAGCCCCCCAGGGTACTGCCGGAACATACCCTGGGTACAGTCCGGTATACCGGAACCTACCCTGGTAGTATCTGATATGGTTAGGGTTAGGGAGTAGGCGTAGGTGACTCCCTAGACTCGTTGTGGAGTAGGCGAGGTACGGTCCGGCCTATTAGATAGTACCAGGGGGGTATACGTACCAGGGTACGTTCCGGTATACTGGACCGTACGGCGTACCCAGGGTACGTTCCGGCAGTACCCTGGGGGACATAGACCCTCTCAGCCTAAGTAAGCTACTAAGTTAGCCATACATGTAGTATGTGCATAGCTCTAGTAATGCTGAGAGGGTCTATGTCCCCCGGGGTACTGCCGGAACGTACCCTGGGTACGGTCCGGTATACTGGAACGTACCCTGGTACTATCTAATATGTCGGACCGTACCTCGCCTACTCCACTAACGAGTCTGGGGAGTCGCCTACGCCCACTCCCTAACCCTAACTCTAACCCTAACCCTAACCATATCAAATAGTGACCAAGGTACGTTCCGGTATACCAGACCGTACCCAGGGTACGTTCCGGCAGTACCCTGGGGGACATAGACCCTATGAGCTCGAGTAACTATAGCCCTCGTACGGTTGCCGCAGGGCACAAGGGCTACAGTTACTAGAGCATGTACATTGCATTGATGACATAATGATAAAATGATTAACTACAATGATGATGATACATAGTGTCAGTGACAGTCATAGATGATAGACTTACATCCGCCTCTCGAGTCTCGGGTCTTCCGACTGCGCTGATATTATTATATTAATTATTATGCTCATACCTGATTCTCCACGAGCTCTTTTACTTTTTCCATGTCTCCATTCTTTAATGCCCAAACAAAATCACCCATATTGTCTACAGAACCTAATTACGCTAAAAAATAAGACTAGAAGTAGAAAGAAAGTTTCTGCCCCGTAGCTAGTACAGTAGCCAAGCGTGTGCCTATCTAAAAATAGCACGGGATGATGATTTGAGTCATTTGACCCCAAGGATTTCTCTGGGAAACAAGTGACACTGGCACCGATGCTCACTTGTTCGGTAGTTAAGCGGGCAACTTGTCCAGTTAGAAATTTTAGAAGCTGACAAGTTGATAACAGAGTTGATAACCACCGTGTTTCCCAGTTTCAAACTGAGTTTGTAACTGGGGCTGCACGTATTGATATTGTGAAACATATTATTATTACACTTATGTACTGCTTCCGGCGAACATGGACAATTATGTCATTTACGGGCAGATTTCTGCATCACTCCCATCAGACCATTCAGTTGTTTACAAGGGTCGGAAGAGAGGAACCCTCAGCTTCGTTGCTATCCACCGTTATGATAAGTTTTTACGGCCTGAGGTCACCAATGCTGTAAGGATCGTAATACTTTAGCTCTAGTAACTATAGCCCGCGTACAGTTGCCGCAAGCCGCGCAATTGCCTGCGGCAACTGTACGCGGGCTATACGGTAGTTACGCTGAGAGGGTCTATGTCCTCCAGGGTACCCTACTGCCGGAAAGTACCCTGCCCCTGGCCCTGCATGGGTACGGTCCGGTATACCGGAACGTACCCTGGTACTATCTAATATGCCGGACCGTACCTCGCCTACTCCACTAACGAGTCTAGGCAGTCGCCTACGCCTACTCCCTAACCCTACCCCTACCCCTAACCCTAACCCTAACCATATCAGATAGTTTCCAGGGTACGTTCCGGCAGTACCCTGGGGGACATAGACCCTATGAGCTATAGTTACTAGAGCTAGTAATACTTGTGCTATGTTTAATGTTCTTAACGTAGGCTATATCCCCAAGTGCTGGACTTTCACAGTCGCAGCAAGTAAAAATAAATTGATGCTTTAGGCCTACTGTACACGCGATCTGTCATTCCTTGTCAACTTCAAAAACGCGCTACACCCGGGTCCCATTGCCAAGTTCTCCCCTACCATACCATACGGCACACACGCTACAGCACGCGCTTACGATACAGTACGCACTCACGCTACAGTACGCACTCACGCTGCAGCACGCACTCACGCTACAACACACACACGCTATATAGCACTCACTCTACCACACACACTCCCGCTACAGCACGCACTCACGCTACAACACACACACGCTATAACTCACGCTACAACACACACACGCTATATAGCACTCACTTTACCACACACACTCCCGCTACAGCACGCACTCACGCTACAACACACACACGCTATAGCACTCACTCTACCACACACACTCACTCTACCACACACACTCACGCTACAACACACACACGCTATAGCACTCACTCTACCACACACACTCACGCTACAACACACACACGTTATAGCACTCACTCTACCACACACACTCACGCTACAGCACGCATGCACGCACGCACGCACGCAAACTACAGCACGCACCCACGCACGCACGCACACACACAGAAGTGCACATATGCATGCACGCACAAATATATGGCAACATGTGTAATATGAGGAGTTAATAAAGACAAATTTCCGGTATACCGGAACGTACCCTGGTAACTATTTGATATGGTTAGGGTTAGGGATCGAGTAGGCGTAGGCGACTCCCTAGACTCGTTAGGGGAGTAGGCGAGGTACGGTCCGGCATATTAGATAGTACCAGGTTACGTTCCGGCAGTACCCTGGGGAACATAGACCCTCTCAGCACCACTGCCTCTGTGTGCGTGGGGTTAAGAAGTGTTTCCATTTCTGAATTACTAAATAGTGAAAATGGCACGTTTAATTGCTAAATGGAACCTAGTCCAGGGGTAGAAATTAACTTTTGAACACGGGAGTCCAACGGACTCCCTACCCTCAAAAAGAGGGAGTCCGCAGCAAAATGAGGGAGTCCGCAGTCTGAGGTTCAAAATTAAAGATATTAACAATAACGCATGTGCTTATTTTTAAGATTCATGCGGTTGCACGTCCGCCAAATTTTCTTTAGACAGCTGAAAAAATACGGTAATTCTGCGAGGCCATGCTCCGGAACGAAGTAGTTAGTATGGCAGAATTTTCAGGGAGTCACACGGACTCCTGCATATGTCAAATCAGGGAGTCTGACAGTAAATTAGGGAGTATTAGACTCCGGACTCCCGTTAATTTCGCACCCTGTAGTCTCATTGCCCCACGATCACCAGAGCTTGATACAACATACATATCTTTAATATAGCCCTTTGCTCCACCACAGGTTTTTCGTATGTGGTGGAGTGAAACGATATAGATTTACTGCTGCTGCTGTAGGGGCATGATTTCATACAAATACACAGGTTTGCTTTCTTACAATTAGGTGAGACTGACACATTCACTCAATAGCAAGAATGTGGTGAGATTCTACGAGTGGTATGAAACCACTAACCACATCTGGGTTGTCTACGAGCTAAGCAGTGGTATGTATTCTGATCAGGTACTTTAAATTAGCTTAACCCTTTTATGACCCATGCATTTATGTGATCAACGTCATACATTATTGCCATATAATGATATAACCCTAATCCATACCTCATCCTAACCTAATTAACCTAACCCTATATTCAGGAGTGAATAATGACAAATGCATTTCATTCATGTGAAAAATTCATTCATGTCCAAATTTGTCATTATTCACCCCTGTTATCATGTATGTAAAGAAATCTTATAGTAGGTTCTTATAGTAGAGGTGTGTATTGTGCATATCGTAACTTGTAAGCAGCTGAGTTTCTGTGTTACATGTTGTTAAAGGTGGAACATTAACTGACGTGATCAGGCAAGATGGCTGCATGCCTGAATCAGCAGTACAGACACTTGGGATTAACCTTGCATCTGGACTCTTCTATATACATTCGAGTGGGATGGTATATGGTGATCTTTGTCCAGACAAGGTATAGACTTGCAGCACTACATGTGTTATATGCATCCATTTTTAATATTTTGAAATTTTTGAAACATTTGTGAAATTATAATTTCCTTGTAGTAACTGAGTATGCTCAATATGTTAGCCCGATTTCAGATGAGAAGGATAGTGATCGAGTTACACGTGTAGATAGTGCTCTTACTTCTGCTTAATAGCACATATTCTATTATGTAGGTGTTGCTTGGTTCTACACCGCTACTGAAGTATTCAGATTTTGGCCTCGCACAGCGAGACGGAGAGGATCTGCAAGATGTCCTCGATGGCTTTGCGGAAACTGAAGACTTTGATGACAGTTTGGAATCTACCACTGGTTATACAGATGTCTCTAGCTTAGGTATACATGATAAGCACCATAACTTAAGGTTTAGTCTGAGCAAGACACTGAGGCAATTGCTTACCAGTGTGTAAGAAGATTTGTAAAGTAACAAAGTGCACAAACAGTGTTTGTATCATGCTAACAGGCTCTTGCTTCAGCGTTTCCCGAGTTGTTGCATTATTTTCGTTGTAACTATCGTTGCGCGTAGATGGCAGTGCATACTTGTCGCGTTCTAAATTCGCTTGGAAAATTCATACAGGAAACACTCTCTACAAAGCGCCAGAGCTACTGTTGGGAGAGTCCCCCACCCAGGCATCAGATCTGTGGTCATTCGGATGTGTGCTGTATGAACTCTACACAGGTAAAAACTATGTGCAAAAACATGTAATATGTAAAATGTACATATGTAAACTATGTGACAACTGACAGCTGTGAAAGCATGTAATCGGGGTCCAAACCTTAGTGCACACTGACTTCACACATCATAGTTTCTGCTCAAATTGGACACTGATTAAATTTGGCATTTTTAGAGAAAGAGACTTAGGTGAGGCCAAAACAAAATATAGGTGTGGTTACGGTTTCCCGACCGACCCTATTTATTCCTAGCGACCCTAAACATTTTATTGTCAATTTTCTTTAAAGTAAAAAAAATGAAATAAAAAATGAATTGGACAGTTCCTGCTTCAAAAGGCACAACGCACATCCTTCGGACATGGTTCGTAAATAAAATATTTAAAGAAAATAAAATGTTTTCCCTACCTACCTACCCTATTTTTTTCGGCATGTAACGGTAACCACACATATATTTTGTTTTGGCCTGAGATCTAAGGGATGTGAATCAACTGAGTTAACTAGCTACCAGTACCAGGGTTTTAGCAAAACAATGCAACTGGATCAACCTTCTCATTTCAATCAAACCATTCGGTGTCTTTCTGAGTCAAAATCCAAGGTTTGATAAATGAAGACGTGTTTCGTTGTTAAAGCCGATCTGATTTACAATCTGGTTTACAATCTGGTGGTACACTACACACTATACCTCGTGTGTAAGGACAGTCAGGTTTCTCTGCTTCATTTATTACATGAATACGGCTATAGTCAGGCGCTAATCTAGCTGCTTAATATGGGCACCCATGGCGAGCGTATCAAGCGTAAAAAACTACATATATACTATTACTTATCTATCACATTAAATTGGGCGTTTGGTCGACACATTTCATTCAGATAGCCATCTATAGTATAGGATCAGATGTTTTTTACCGTCACACACCATAGCCTACACCGTATGTTACTCTCTATGATGGGATGTACTGCGTTAGTCAGTTCTGTGCTACCAACCGAATGTCATGTAAACTTAATGCGCTGTGGCATGCCGTAATACAGAATGCTGTGACTCTGCTTGTAGGTCACCCGCCCTATAAAGCACAGAGTTTCGCTGATCAGAGAGAGAAGATTCTAAATGGAGGCTATCCTTCGCTGAAAAGGAAAGACGGCAAGGCACCATCTGCTGATTTGCTCGACTTGCTTGCAAAACTGATGTGCAAGAATGCCGATGATAGGTATGTAGGCCCATATGTTTGTAAACGTCATCAAAGTCCATAAGAACGCTCAAAACCTTCGGCGTGGAAACCACGAATCAGAATCAAATGTTAAACCTGCAACCCAGCGCAGAGGACTGATTATAATACCGGTTTATTCTGTGGTCACTTCTCACCATTGCATTTACATTTACACCATTTCATGCAATAGAGATTTATAAATAATAATAATAATAATAATAACTTTGATGAAGGTACAGGACTGTTATTCTATTAAGACGAGTGCACTACTGTGGCAGTGTGTCGCAGAATCACTCGGTCATTGTTCTCGTTGGTGTGGCAGAATGAAATGGCCCGACCTGGTGAGCCATCCGTTTTGGAACGAGCTGTTAGCGGTTGCTGTCGGCGATCAGATCTCACTCCTGCCAACAGATGGCGCTGTCACCGTCGGCAGCTTGGCGACGTCCAGCTGGGATTCGTCAACAGGTGCGTGTCAAAGGTCAATCCTGCAACGACAATATATGCAGCGTACGGTCGTCGCTCCTAGAGAGGGCCAGCGCTTATTCTCAAATCTCCGTAAATAGTAACGATGCTAGAGCGAGCATGCCACGACTTAGCGATTTCGTGCTGTACTTCTATGGGTCCCGACCTGCCGCAGGGGTCACGACTTGTTGCAGGGGTTGCGACCTGCCGCAAGCAACAGGTCGCGACCTGCCGCAGGGGTCACGACTTGTTGCAGGGGTCGCGACCTGCCGCAGGGGTCACAACTTGTTGCAGGGGTCGCGACCTGCCACAGGGGTCACGACTTGTTGCAGGGGTCGCGACCTGCCGCCAGCAACAGGTCGCGACCTGCCGCAGGTGTCGCATAACGGTGGTCCCTATGCTCACGCAGAACGTTAATAGATTCGTCCTCTCGCATCAGGTACCTCATCGTCTGTGCGACGTGTGCAGCGTGAGCCGGGCGCGGGGGAGGGAGACGCCGAGGCAACAACCAGCGCAGCTGAGGCGACCCACGCCTCGGCGAGCATGGCAGAGATGCCCTCCGACCCCAGGCAGGAACGTTCGGATAACATGAACGATCCAAGGCTGTCGAAGTCAGATGCGGATGCTGACTCCAGGCAGTCAAGGTCGGATGCAGTCGCTGACCCCAGGCAGTCAAGGTCGGATGCAGTCGCTGACCCCAGGCAGTCAAGGTCGGATGTAGTCGCTGACCCCAGGCAGTCAAGGTCGGATGTAGTCGCTGACCCCAGGCAGTCAAGGTCGGATCCAGTCGCTGACCCTAGGCAGTCAAGGTCGGATGTAGTCACTAACACCAGGCAGTCAAGGTCGGATGTAGTCGCTGACCCTAGGCAGTCAAGGTCGAATGCAGTCACTGACACCAGGCAGTCAAGGTCGGATGCAGTCGCTGAACCTAGGCAGTCAAGGTCGGATGCAGTCGCTGACCCCAGGCAGTCAAGGTCGAATGTAGTCGCTGACCCCAGGCAGTCAAGGTCGGATGTAGTCGCTGACCCCAGGCAGTCAAGGTCGGATGTAGTCACTGACACCAGGCAGTCAAGGTCGGATGCAGTCACTGACACCAGGAAGTCAAGGTCGGATGAGGTAGCTGATCTGAGGCGGTCAAGGTCGGAGGAGCTCGCTGACTCCAAACAGATGAGAGCCGATGAGCTGCCAGACCCGAAGCAGGCAACCTCTGAGGAATGCTTCAACCTTTCCCCGAGATCAGCTCCACACAAGGTGTGTGTGTGTGTGTGTGTGTGTGTGTGTGTGTGTGTGTGTGTGTGTGTGTGTGTGTGTGTGTGTGTGTGTGTGTGTGTGTGTGTGTGTGTGTGTGTGTGTGTGTGTGTGTGTGTGTGTGTGTGTGTGTGTGTGTGTCGTCGTCGTCGTCTCTCTCTC